ATAACCGAACCTGATGCGACTGAGGGATATGCTCCAAAAACATGGCGCCTATTACGTTTGTTATCGGTAATTCGGCTACCAGGACTTCATCACATACCGTCAACAGGAAGACTTTCACCGGATGACATCAGCACGTTTAGTCAATTTAGATCGACTCACTTTCCGCCTACACCGAAACCCATACACGCCACCAACGCAGCGAAGGACGTGAAACTATTGGCACCGCCCGCCGCTATGCCAAAAATACCTGCGATACACAACGTGATCTAAAATCTCGGGAACAATCGCGTTGAGCTACTCTTATAATAACCGAGCACCAGGAGTGATACACACGTTAAAGATAGTCTACGTACCAAGGACGTCAGGCCAGTACACCCCATGTCATGGCACCCGTTACCAAGCCCGCATATAGGCCCAATGTAGTGAATTCAATCCGAGACGGGTTCAATTCCTGCTGCACCTGAGGAAGAACAAGGGCTACACCCTGAAACCAAAGATCTGGAATTAATGTTAATCAGCCGCATGCTACCAGAGTCCGATCGGGTTTTCCATGTATGCGTTGCGAACCCTCTCGGTGGCAGGGCCATAGGACCGAGATACGGTAAGAAATGGACACCAAATTGCGAAAGAGACTCACTATCGGTAAGCCATCCGAGTCCGCTAAGAACGAAAAGCTGTTGTTGATAACGACCGAACCCGATTCTATATTTTTCATGGTTAGCGTTTTTTCATGGTCGAGATTTGTTGAATAACGACGTACTCTTCTTGCAAACATTTGTTTACTGTAGGAGATGATGAGCCATTTCAAGGTAACGAAACAGACTCACTCACCAAGGTCGCATTTCAGCTCGTAGGCTCTGGTAATCCCTTTTTCAAGGTTAAACTCCTCGCTTGAGTTATTCGTCGATACGACTGTATTCTCCAAATCTGATTTTTCCACGTCAGTATCGTGACCTTTGATATCATCCATGGCGAATCGTAGTAGTAGTCTCAAACGCCTTTGGTTTTGGGAAGTAAAAATTACTTTGACTGAAGCCCCACTTTTAATGTCTCTCACGCTAGGTCTTGCTAGACGCCGTCGTTACGTGCTTGGAGCAGTAGGCAGCGCCATTCCGATCCATCAGGGAAGCAAACAGAAGAAGCGTTGCTATAACGCTAAGTGTAGCTCCGCGTGCACATGCTTGCTTACTATTAGCGATTCGGCTCTCTTCCAATCTAAAAACACTGATGAAAACGCATGCATATGGGGGTAGTAAATCAGTATACTCAGTGTGTGCATTGGTGGCACATGAACAGTACCTAACGAGTACATACCGCATCCAGAATAGAGCTGTGCGTGAAACAAGGGGGGACGGGTAGCAGGTTGTGGTGGCTCTTGTTCGCGTTATCGCGCTAGCCTTGCGTCATTTGAAATCTTTGGATAATGGATATTGAAGTCGGGTTTGAAGTCCTTGTTGATTTGATCGTTGCCGAAGTAGCGCGACGACGGGAGTGACAGGAGGCGAGTCGATGTAAAATTATGCCAACATCCATCAACGTCCCGAATGGTAATTGAACCCTATACTCTCGTCCCGATGTCCGTCCAACGCATACTTATCAGAAAGGGTTCGTCATTGATATGAATCTAATCGCATGACGATGGTTCCATTGGTCCACTTCGAAATTTTGATTAAAAAATTCCCAATTGCGGATAGCAAGGAGATGAGTCGGTGGTACGACGCAGACTCGCCGTGTCATCGCAGAGTAAAAAGCATCATTACCACACCAACACGCAAGACATCAACACAGTTCGTAATCATGAAATCACCCGACTTTCACCGCAACCAACCTGCCAGGTTTCAAATAAGCCACCCGGTGCTTTGCACCACATCTTTCCCAGGCACAGCTCCTACTGTCTTCTTCCACCCATCTTTTGCGAAAACACGCCACCTCATCGCCGCCCCCCATTCACGGTCGACCATAACAGTCGACCTTTGCCGTGATCACATCGCAGCATGGCCCGCGGTCTACCCAAGTAGTCAATACCCCGTCTACAGGAGCTTATGAAACGTCTTCTCACCTCAATTGGTAAGAGTAACATGAGTACGGCGGCTACAAGGAACAGGGCTGCTGATACGAAGATGGGTCTGTATTGGGTAGGATCTCTTAGTCACGGGTTTGCCATTATGACAATATTTAGACGCACCCGTTCGCAGCGTTGCTGGATGCTGCGCCAGTCGCCGAAGTCGTTGCGATTTTGATAACTGGTGACAAGATGCCTGTGATTCTGTTGAAACCGCTTGCAAGTGCATCACCAGTACCACGCTGCGGTGCCGGGAAGACTTCTGGAGTATACGCGTACAGCACACCGTACATCTAATCCGAGTCTTCAGTAACCGATCTGCACATCTAGCACGAAACATACCGCATTTCTGTTTTGATTTCAGCTCAAACATCGTTAGACAAAAGTCAAGAAACATACTCGGTGAGCGAAGTAACACAAGAATACCCAAGCACAGCAGCGTTCGTTTTACTAGTCGTGAAAAGGAACAAAAATATTCCTGAGAGCGCCGTGGAGAGTGCCATGGCAAATTTTCTTCCACCCAAAGAGTATTTGCCTGCGCGACGAGTATAGTCGACGATGGCGCAAGCGATAAGCGATCCTGGAACACCAAGGACAGATATAATGGTGTAGTTGCGGTAGGTCACACTTGTGCTATCAGAGCCTGCTGGCACGCGCGCGCTGAGATACAAGGTAAGGAAGCCGTTGAACAAAGGGTAAGCCAATCCAAGCAGACCTGTGAAACAAAGAGTCAAGAGCTGGAACGTTGCGAAGCATAACGACTACGCACCCCAGATGATGATAATCAATGTAGTGTTAAGGGCGAGTTTCCTTCCCTTGAACAACGGCCTGATCTGTGAACTGCATAGTACGAGATTAGGGCCAGTCTCAGTCGTCTGGAGTTGAAACTTACATTGACAAGTGTGCAAGCGACCCTTTGATCAGTTGCCAGTAACTTGGACGAGGAACGTTTGAGGGGCCGACAGCTTGCAGCTCTTCCAAGGTGAGTCGGATCGTTTTACCATTGTATTTTGCAATGTGTTGAAGGACCTATATACATTGTCAAATATAGTGGATATTCATATGGTAAGGTGACATGCCTCGTATGCCTCCTGGTCTCTTCCCTTGGCAACCAAGTATTTTGGCGACTCTTGCAGATCGAAAACGACGAATCGTAGAATGAACATCAAGAAAGTCATGGTACCGCTTGCACATTCGTCAGCCTTGGGAATGAACAATAAACGCAATGCCTTACAGGGTATAACTGAAAACATGCGCTTAGGACAGGATCAAACGCAGGTTATAGCCAGCTTACAAACTATATCTCCATCCCATGTTTTCACTCTTCGGGCATTGGCCAACAGATGGGCAGGAATAGTGGGCGATGAAACCCCACGAGATTAAAGAAGCAACCACTTGGCCAACAGCCCACCAAGCCGACAAGAGGGTCAAGGTCCACTGCAAAACGAACGTGTCTTCTTTCGTTACAGAAGGTGAACAACTGCAAAGACGTACCTGATGGGACTGGGGGATATTTTCCAAATATACGGCACCATCGACGGGAAGGCTGAAAACCAAGTCTTGAATACACGTTTACTCGCAAAAGTGCATACTTACTTTCCACCTACACCAAACCCAACACAAGCCACGAGAGAAGCGTACGCAACGAAATTCGGCGCTCCACCAGCCGCAATTCCGAAAACACCGGCGAGGAACAACGTTATCTGTCGCGCGGCGTCACATCTCAATAACAATAAAGGAACAAAGCATACATTAAACGACAGCCTACGTCCGATGAGATCGGCCAAGATACCCCATGTATAAGCGCCGAGGATCAAGCCGGCGTACAAGGCCAACGTGCTAAACTCGACGCGGACGGGGTTGAGCTCTTGTTGCACTTGAGGGAGGACGATGGCGACGCCTTGTAGCCAGATGTCTAATAATAATGATAGATAAGTATAATGAAAAGTATAATGAAATAAACGCACTATCTGCCATCCATCCTATACCAGTCAGTATGAAAAGCTGCCATTGGTAACGGCCAAAACCGATGCTGTGAGAGAGAGAAAGCGCTTGGTAGGTGTTCATAAGGCGTTTAGTCGGGAAATATACGTACTCTTCTTGCAAACATCTGTTGACTGAAGTACCGAGGTAAGCGGAAGTCAGGGAAGGAGAAAAAGATGTGACATACTAAGGTTACATTTGTATTCGTACGTCCTATCGACGCCCTTAGTCGAGGTTGAACTCGTCACTATAGGTATCTGAAGAAGAAGTATGCTTCTCCCCGTCTTCAGTCTTCCGTTCTAGCGTGTTCATATCGGAACTCGTGATTTGATTCGTAGACGCGTTCCTCTACTCGGTCCTCGGGGTTTTTTTATGGGTGCAAGGGAGGAGAGGAGGAGATAAAAAGGGGAAGAAACAGAAATGACGTCCCAGGAACTGATATTTGTTGCTTGTGTGAGCCATCCTCTCCGCTCCCGCTCCATCTGTCATATGAACCGAATAAATATAGAGCAAGTTGATACGAAGCATGGGTATCAGATGACCCCGTCGTCATAGATCGCAACTGTTGTGATTTTTTTTTTAAAATTAAATTTGGACGTCTTCCTCTACATGCTGCTGCACATGGGTGCGCACGCATGGTTGAGCTTGACTATTCTTATCACTGAGTGTTTGGCGAGATAAGCATAGAGAAGCACAGCTAGAGAGAGAGAGAGAGGACTAACCTGGCCTAAATATGTGACCGCCGCGTACCTCCGTATGCGCATGAACGTTGCTCCCGTTGCTGATAAAGTAACCTGAGGCGTGATGCATGTTTATCGTCACCAACGCTGAGCGCGTGGTTTTCTGGGACGGAAAGTTCTATAGAAAAGCCTATGCGCTCGTTACCATCAGAAAAAGTGCCACTTGACATCGTGATCAGAAGATGGCGGTTGTTGTATTGCCGGGAGCCAAAAAATCCGATCTGCCTGGCTCGAACAGGCGACCTCAAGATAAACGGTATCCATTACAGTCTCGCGCTCTTCCAACTGAGCTAAGATCGGTTGATATTCAAACCTATGAAAACCAACTTGATCCGTTGAACTGCGATGACGGTTCATCACTTTATTACGGTTCGTATCACCGCTGACAGTCCCTCTCTCGTGGAAAAAGCTCAGGCTTGCAGAACACCCATACACTTTCCTACAGCCCAGCTGAGATCAGCAGGCTTTCAAGATCATATGCTGCAAGCTCCGGATCCTAACGCTATGCGCTGCTACGTCACCCGAGCAGCACAAAAACGCCAAGGGTTTCGGGAGGAACTGAAGACGTGATGGACAGTTTGACTGGATTCGACAAAGCAGGCTACGGACCGGAAGTCGTCGGTTCAATGACAGACGGAGATTTCCTTCGGCTAGTACAGCCACGACCCACGATCGATCGCTGCATGCAGGACGTCCGAGTCTTTCCTCTCCATATCTTCCCCTCTCTCCTCCACACCGCCCCCATCCGCAGCACCCGCAGACCCAGTGTGAGTATTTATATACGCTTCATCCAATGACATCACATTTACGACCCACTCAGCACTCTCATGTCTTACTTCCTCAACAAAGCCGGAAAAAACCTCTTCCGCAAACACATCGAACAATACGTCCCACCAGACCCTCTCTACGAATACACCACAGACAACAAAGGCCGTCAAAAACGTTCCAAAGTACGCTCTCCTCCTCCTCCTCCTCCTCCTCCTTTTCCTTCATCCTCACCCACATCTCCTCTAGCGCCCACTCCCACCAGGCCTCTCAAAACGTGACGCCCGAATCCTCAAATCCGTCCAAACCCGCGCCCACCACCTCGACAAAGGCTTCAACCTCTGCGGCCTCCGTTTCGGCTGGACCTTCTTCATCGCCCTCATCCCCATCGTCGGTTCCGTCGCCGACGCATTAATAAACTACTACCTCATCATCCGCAAAGCTCGTAAAGCCGATATCCCACAATGGCTCGAAGCAAAGATGATCCTAAACTCCACTATCGGCGTAGGAGCCAGTTTCGTCCCGTTTGTGGGAGACATTTTCCTCGCGATATGGAAAGCGAATAGCAGAAATGCGGTTTTACTCGAAGAGTATTTGAGGATTAGAGGAGAGGAGATTCTCAAGGTTCAACGAGAAAGGGAAGCGAGTGGGTCGCAGTTGAATACGGCGACTACGACGACTACGGTGGATAATAGCAAGAAGGACAAGTTTGGGTTTTTCAGTTTTAGTCGGTGGCGAGGTGGTGAGACTAAACCGGAGGCGGTCGATTCTGATACCGCTACGGAAAACCCAACACCTGAAGAAGTGTATGAAGATGAACCTGTTGCTGTTCTTCCGTCCAGTGTAGGACACGAGACCTCGACCGCCGAGGGGGGCGACGGCAGCAAGCGAAAAGGCTTCTTCAGCTCGCTGGGCAAAAGGAAAGCACCACCTGCCGGGGAAAAGGGCAGATTTATTGAACATGTTCCTGAAGCGGACTACGAACAATGGATTTCACCGCCTGTACAGTAAAATATATTTCTAATCTTTGGGTTTGTAGAACTAATGTAGACTAATTTCATTTCGTTGGGGCCTATCTGTACATCATCATTCGATACGATATAAAGTGGTACACTGGTTATTCGGTTTTTTTTCCTTGTTATACATCCGTCTGCCTTCTAAAGCTCATACCATATAGTTCGTTCTAATTTGCCAGTTCCTTGATTCTCTTGATGATGGCTGTAATGAAAATGATCAGTTAAGATATCTTCAAGCTCGAGAGAGAGAAACCAACATTGCGGGTCTAAGCCTTGGTATGGAATTTGCTCCCAGAGACCTCCGCAGCCTTCTTTAGTGGTACCCATGTACCCATACTTGGGGGTGAGTTGACGCTCCAACAACCACGTTCCAAACTTGGAACCCAACTAGAAGCACGTTAAATAAACCGAACGATGACGTTTGAACGGAACGTACTCCTGTCCTCTGGTTGAGAGTTTCGACGACGAGAACAAACTTGGTTTGACCAATCTTCTTGATAACCTCTTCATCAACCACGTTCAAAGTTGGCTTATTGATCAACCCGACGTTGATGCCTTCTTGACGACACCGCAGAACGGCATCCCAAGAACGGTACAACATTTCACCAAAGGATACGACATATCCAGCCGTACCCTCGGCGATGATCTCGTCTTTCCCGGGAATGAATTCATAGTTATCCTCAAAGTACCTCTTTCCGTTTTCCTTGACAATCCAGGGTACCTTGGAACGAGTAGAGAAAACGAAGCGAAGACCACGCTCAAAGAAGACGCGTTTGATGACGGCAATCATCTGAGAAGCATCGGCAGGGAAATACAGATATGATTTGGTATCCGCAAGACCGTTGTCAGCAAAGAATGTGTTGACGCCTGTACGACGACAAGTCAGATTATCTAGAGTTTGTAAAGTTTGCTCTTCTCACCAAAGTGGCAGGTATTGTCAGCCTGGATAAGTATAGGTTAGAACGTCTCGTGTATTACAGGATATCGCTTACCATCTTATGAATAGTGAGAAGAAAATGGGTCAGTTATGCAGCTGTGGTTAGAGCATTTGACGTACCTCATCAACTAATATGTATCATTAGAAACATTATTTCATAAAAGCGTGCAGAAAGACTCACTTCCAGAGTGGGAGAAGTGGCAAAGGACATTGCACTCGTTGAGTCGTGCCATGGTGACTTCTGAGACAACCATCTCCAAGAACGCAGAGAAGGTAGAGAAGACACCAAACTTGTTATGGTCAAAGCCGAAACCAGCAGCAGCAGAATAGTTGCCGCGCTCCATGATGCCGGAAGGAACGAAAACTTCGGGGTGCTTCTGGTGGATCACCTTCAGACCGGTGGATCCCTCGAGATCGCCTTGGAAATGATTAGCAATAGTCTACACGCAGGCTCGCTAGGACTCACTGTCAATGACCATAACTTTCTTTGCGTTTTCCTCTGGGCTGAATTGATCCAAAACCAAGTTAACTGCCTCACCGAACACGACACGATTGGCGCCGAGTTTCTCGCTCGCTCCCTTGTAAGCATAGGAGAAGGGAGCCGCCTTGAAGCCTTGGTAGTATGTTTCGAGGTTGAGTTGGTTACCGTACCCTCGGCCTTGTAAGTACTTTATGGCAGCTTTGACGGGGATGACATCATGTCCATGGGTGCTTCCCTCGATGCCCTCGATACCTGGGGCCATAACACGCTTGCAAATAACTGTTTCCAAATAGATGATTACCGTCCCCGGAGAATAGTTTCTTTACTTACCGGCTGCAGGACCATCGTGCCTTATGATGGAACTAACGGCGGCCCATAAAGCATCGATGTCTTCGCCTTGGACTGTCAAGACCTTCAACCCATGTCCTTCAAGGGTCTTCGTCACGTCATAACCCTTGAGATATTCCGAAGGGTGTCCAGCGATAGTAACGTCGTTGTCGTCAATGAGAAGCTTGACATTAAGGTTCTGGGCCACGGCAAGCCTAGCAGCTTCGGCGTCATTTCCCTCTTGTTGAGAGCCATCTGAGCCGAGACAGAAAACAGTCTTGTCACGGTTGGCCAGCGCAACACCGTTAACCATAGGCCTGCATCCATTAGTTGACCTGTATCATCCGGTCAAGTTCGAATATGACGTACCACATATGGCCTAGACGACCAGAGGAGAATTTGACTCCGGGAGTCAACCCGAGTTCAGGGTGACCGGGGAGTTTGGAATGGGCATCACGGTAGTGTAGTAGATTCTCAGCAGGAAGAGAGCCTTCTAACGCCGCAAGAATATATTGGGTTGCGACACGGTGACCTATCAGATATGATTATCAGCAAGATGCATTGATAAGATATATGCGCATTATCTTCGCGCATATATCATGCAGGAAGTTTGAGGATGATCGCGCTCACCGGCCTCGTCAAAAACGACCGGAAAGAATTTTTCCGAGTGCTCAAAGAGAGCTAGAAGAATGCAGACTTCGGGGACGGTATCGTAGGCACCACCTGCAATGAAGATGAAAAAGTCAGCATTTGAACTGGGCAATCACATCAACGCGATGCGTACCAGTGTGTCCGCTCACACCACGAGCCGCACCAGTTGCAGTAAAGAGCACGATAGCATCACGAAGCAGCTGGATGTTGGACAACAAGGTCGATTTTTCCTCGGCTGTGAGCTGAGGCTTGGCGGGATCTAGAGATAATCTAAAATTGTGTTAGAACGCCCCGATCTTCGACTATAAGACATTCTCTCTACTTCTTGTATTTTTTGAGATCAATGGGGAAAGTTTCAGACATGTCGTACAAATGTCAGTAGTTGAGAGAATGAAGAGAAGTAAAAAAACCGGGGAGGGGTTTTGAAGGATGTCGATTGTAGATACGCGTCGGGTATTTAAATCCTCGGCTGATCGAGCAAGTGTCCTTCCCACCTGTTACCTGGTTCCTCTATGTACAGCTCTACGACGAGCAAACTTGCATTGCCAGTGTCAATTAGTACGGCATACTAGCACTGGGGGTCGTTAAAACTATCACTATGTATGGTCTAATGTATCCGGGGTGGGTCGGGCTCGGGCAACCTTGAACGCCTGCTGTCAAGCCGATATAGAACGGTTGTTACTCTGGTCCTAAAACCGGGTTAGCATGATCGTGTTGATTGTGGGCACTTGTCCATTGCGTCTTCCTGATTCTCGGAGTGGAAAAAGCTTTGCAAGTTTTTTCGAGGAGGGGCAGCGCCGTACGCGTCCTGTCGGGGGTTGAGAACGAAAGATGTACTCACACTGTCCATTGCGCCTTCCTCGGAGCCGCGGCGACGCATTCAGAGCGTACAATCTCATGGCAGTCTGCAAGAACAATGTCTGAACCACCGACGTGGACTGTACTACAACTTCGAGTCTAACAGGGCAAAGTTTTCAGATGACGGGCCTTCGTACGCTCCCCGCATTGTTTCTTTGAGGGGCAAAATGTAAGTGCCAGTATTACTATCTATCCCCGCGGGTTTATACTTTGGATTGATGATTCCACATCCCCAGGGCCCCACGTCCTCATCCTCTGCAAAGCC